TAAGGATACCAGATACAGAAACATGGTTGGAAATTTTGTGAAAACACAAGGTTCAAGATCCATGTAGTAAAATCTGGATAGCATACCTTGCAACCCACCATATCTAGCAAAGATCTATCAGTAAATGGATGTTCAAATAGTCCAGCAACAAATTTTACTCTTAGGATTCGCTCCACTGCATCATCAATCCTACTCATAGGTATCTCCCCTGATTCCACGAGGTATACCAGAGCATCCATGAATTCATTGTATCTGAAAGGCACCATCACCTGAAAGTTTCTCAGCCATGAAAATGAGAATAATTGCTTCTAGGAATCTTTATTTATTATTTTTTTTTTGAGATTCAGCGTTTGGATTTCAGTCACCACCATGTCCACTCCTGCATTTATTGAAGCTGAAATGCAGTAATGATAGTTTGATCCGTGAGGTTGAGAGAGTCGGTCAATTCCTTCCCAGTCAGATATCACAAAACCCTGCAGCAGATATTATGGTCCTTAAAGTTTCTTGTAGATTGACTGAAAAGTGGTAAAGTACTAGCACTACCAGAAGCAAAGTAGTAAAGCTTGGAGAATCTAAGAAAGAAAATGATACAAGAAGCTTGATGGTTTGTCCTAGGATTTTAGAAACTAAACAGTTCCTTGTCATTCTTGATAGATAAAACTAATAGTGAGGGCTAGCAAGTTGGAAAATTACCAATGTAGAACATATTGTTTACCTAATTCAATTGATTTACTTCTTGGGGTCAAGCCAGGCCATTTTCAGAGCATAAGGAAAAAAATCAAACTTTGGTTGAAGGAAGCAGTCAAGGTTATTCTTTTTTTACCTTGAAACCAAGCTTCCCCTTCAAAATACATGTTAAGAGAAAATAGTCACTATGCAGTTTTCTCCCATTCCAACTAGAATAGGATGCCATGATGGTAGAAACTCCCTGAGACAGGCACTCTAGGTAAGGTTCCATATGGTTCCTCTCCAGTTCATCAAATGACAAAATGGTATTCCCCTCATTTATCCCTCTGTCAGTACCACCATCTCCAATAAAATGCTTGGCACATGCTATAACATTTTTTCTGCAATAAAAAAATGGTCCAGATGAATTATTTCACTTGGATAAATACTTGACAATGACAAACATAGATATGGAGTACCGAGCACACAGCATTAAGCTTAACAAAACTGAAAGAGTAGCATTTTATACAGTATATCATTACTTCATATAATCAGTAAACCCTATCTAACCCTTAGGGTTTGGTGCACGAGGCATATTAAATATTCTAGTCATTTTGTACACTCTCTAGGACCATATCTTCTGTAATAGAATAAGTTCCCCAATCCTTTTTAGATTCTTCAAGTTGCAGCACATGAATAATACTATATTACCCAGATATGGCAAGAATGGTTCTGGAAAAAAGTGTCAGGTCACAAAATTTACACTATAATTGAAGTGTTAGGGTTGTTTATCCTTAATTGGGTTTTGTGACAGGTTTAGGTTGAGGCCAATCCATGGCAAACCCAACCAGTTGGCACTGCAGCATTGAAACATTTGCACATCTAGCCTTGGATGAGTATAGGTGTATATAGATGTACTATTCCTAGGGCAGGTTGAGTCAGGTTCCATATCCCATTTTATTTAGTTGGGTTGGATTCAAGGCCACGTTTGGATTGATCAAAGCCTCTGCCAAGCATTGGTTTTTTTTTTATCAATATCAATGAATTTTATTAAGGATTGAGAAATTACATAGAAAAGGAGCTAAAGAATCTTAACTCCCTAATGTACACCCAAACCGTAAGAAACTTACAAAACAGCCCAAAAGATGGAGTTTATGTTCACCCCTTGCCTAGCTAAACCATCTGCCAATGAATTTGCACTTCTCTTTTCCCATGTACAACGAACTTCAATGTCCTTAGTCATCCACTTGAATTTCCACTTTTCGTTGCTGTAATTCCAGAGCTTAGAGTTGTCCTCTTTTAGCCAATCCACCACAATTTCAGAATCACCTTCTATGATCAATTTTTTAATATGCATGTTCTTGACCCTTTGTACCCCTTCAAGAGCTCCTAGTATCTCAGCCCTCAAAGAATCTCCCACCCCAATTGGACCAGAATACATAGCTAACAGATTCCCTTTTTCATCTCTTATAACTCCCCCTATTCCAGAGGGCCCTAGATTACCCATATTGCTGCCATCAAAATTCAGTTTGGTAAAGCCGTGAGGTGGAGGTGTCCAGAAAGAACTTGAAGCCTTCTTAATTGAAGCTGGATCTGCAATCTCCTTCCAATTTCTTAGCATCTCATCAACCGAGAAATCTGTAAAAAATTCCAAGCTTCTCTTGCCGAGCATTGGTGATCTAAGTCTTTATCTTCTTTTCCCATTTTTTTTTCTTTTTACTCCACTTCTATATCGTATGATTTTTTCTTTAATGAAAAGTACAAACAAGAAAGATATCTAGTTATGGCTTCTTGTTTTTTACCTTCCAGCAACATAAGGGTAGCCCTTTGGGTGTCCTTCAGGAGGAAGCCCCTGCAAGCCGACAACTACCAAAGTCATCTTCCTAACAACTTCAGTGTCTTCACTGAAACTCTCATAGCATCTTCCCCATCTGGGGTCTTTGCAGACCTGTCTCAACCAATGAAATCTGATGTTGGACAAAAACAAATTAACAAAAGTAACAATATGATTAAAAATAAACTTAAATGCTTGTACCAAATAACAATTATTTTTATTTTTATTTAATATGATGAATATATAACATTAAAAATGTTCTCAAATGCTTTTGACAAAGTTCTATACATTTTCATTTTTGGTGTTCTATCTTTTTTTAAATATTTATTATTCAATTATGACATCATGGGTTTCTTAGAAAAGTTGGATCATTGACCCACCATCTAGATAAGAAAATAGCTTTGCTTTTGGATTAGTTTTAAATTAGGGAAAATTATAGTCAGAACCGGATATACATTTAAAATTAAGCTACAAGTTAGTCCAAAAATCAACAAAACTCTAACAAACCGGCTCTACATTTTAAACTATAAAAACCCCTGCCATGTCATTGGAGGCTTATGTGGCTATTGCCAACATGGGACTCTTAATCCATGTTGGACACAACAAAAAGCTTATTGCCCTTTAATGCTGGGTGATTGGGAAAATAAGAAAGTGGTTTTTAGTTTCTCCTGCTCTCTCTCTCTCCCTCTCCCACTCTCTCACTCTCACAGTCGTCTCTCTCTACTCAATGATTGTGTGATTTGAAAAATAAATAAAAAATGGTTTTCGGTTTCTATATTTACATTATCTCTATCAATTTCTCTCATTCTCTCTACCTATCATTCTCCCTCAATCTCTCTCAATCTATCGTTCTCCCTTAGTTTCTCTCACACTCCTTCTCTTGCTCTTTTTTTTTTATTTTCTTACACACTTATATGGTATTAATTAGACCATATAAAAGAACATGAGACTAACTTGGTATAATTCAAAAATCATTACACCGATTTGATAAAAGTTCACAAGAAACTCTTGGCTATGAAATTTACACCAACTTGATAGAAAATTATAACTTGATTGTACAAGTGGTTGGTCCCTTTAGTTCTTTTATACAGTCTGATTAATATTATAAAAGTTTGTAAGAAAAAAAAAAAGAATGAGAGAGGTAGTGGCAGAAAGACTGAGAGAGAATGATAGAGATTGAGGGAGAAGGAGATATTAAACGAGAGGGAGAGTGAGAAAGAAGAATGAGAGAGATTGAGAGAGAGAGAGAGATTGGGAGAGAAACCGAGGTTTTGATTTGGCTAATACTAAAGCTAAGAGAATGGGAGATCAAGAGATGACTGCGAGAGTGAGAGGAGGGAGGGAGATCGAGAGATAGAGGGAGCGGGAGAGAAACTAAAAACCTATTTTCGATATAGGCTTTTATTTTGTGTCCAACATGGATTAAGAGTCCCATTTTGTCAACAGCCACAAAAGCCTCTTATGACATGGCGAGGGTTTTTATAATTTGAAATGTAGAGCCGGTTGTCAAAGTTTTGTTGGTTTCTGGACCAACCCACAACCTAATTTTAATTGTATAACCGGCTTTGACTATAATTTTCCCTTTAAATTATATATTTCATTTACATTATATAAATAATTTTTACGATCACACAGTCACACTTAATTTTTGTTTGTCTATGATATCATTTAACCCAAACCACTAACCCACCACCCAAAAAGAAAAATAGTTTGATTTGTAGGTTGACATTAAATTTTGTATTATATTTCAATCATTGAAATTTTTTTCTTATGTATAATACTTATTTTTGTTCAATATAATGAATGCATAATATTAGAGATGTACCAAATATTTTATTTTTTATAAAAATATAGCATTAGATATGTGCCCAAAATTTTCTCTATCTTTTTTTTTGTTATTTTTGTGATTCTTTGTATTTTCTATTTTTAAAAATTTTATTATTTGACTATGACATAATTTCATTTGTAGGTAGATTTTAAATTGGCATTCCATTTTCATCATTAATAAAAATACTTCTTACATTTCATACTTATTTATTTTAACAATTTTATTATTTAATTATGGAATTATTTATTAATCCATTTAACCCCAAATGATCGAATTGCTTGCCCACCATCGGGAAGGAAGGAAATGGTTTTCTTTTCAAATTGCGTTTCAAACTATTTATTTTTATACTATTAAAATTAATATTGTCGATTTAACTACAAGAATTTAATGATTTGAAAAATATATCTTAAATATAAGATTTAGTGAGAGAGAATAGGAAAATGTTTTTATTTCCAATTGGTTTTAAGTTTTACATTCAATTTCCATCATTAATAAAAACATTTCTTATTTATCATACTTATTATTGTTTAATATGTTTGTTAATAATGTTCCCAATTTTTTTACATTTTATCTTATTTTTGAACTTTATTATTTAATCGTGGTAACATGGATTAACCCATTTGACCCAAAATGGTTTAATTTCTTACCACCACCTGAATGAAAACTCTATTTTTTCTAGGTAGATTTTAAAAGTATAAGGTTTCATGTTATTGGAATTATTAATTTATTAAGTATGGATTTAATTAATAGAACTTAATGATGAGAAGAATAAAAAATAACTTAAATATAAGATTCATTGAACATGAATGCAAGTTAATAAATTTAATATTGGATTTATTGAGAGGGAATTGAATGCATTGAATATCATAAAATTACCTCTTTTCAACTCATTTAATATCAATAACCGATTACCCTATTTTCCCTTACTTTTTATCAATAAATTTAAATATAAAAGGGTAAATTTTGTCCTAAAAAATTGCAGAAATATTCTTGAGACCATTCATGCTTTATATATATATAGTAGGTCTTTTTACATTGGGATTTGTGGTAATATTAATAGAGAACTCATTTACTTGCAGAGTGTTGTGGAACATGTTTCAATTCTGCCTTGAGGATTATAAGACAATACTGATACTGCAATAGTCAGATCACAGGGCAGTCCAGTTAATCTGAAGTTCAACATTCACCTACACTCCAGAACAATCTCTCCTCATTCCCACCTCCCAACCCCGCCCCCCCCAAATATAGACAACACGTGTGTGTGTGGTGTTCAAAACTTCTTCCATCAGGAGTTCACACCTTAATCCTATAACTTTAGATTTGATGAGATTAGTTATGGGAACAGAAAACATTCCAAATGATCTAATGTCTAAAAGGTGTCCAAAAATGGTAGAAATAATTCCACTAAGAGATGTTACCTTCTTTCTTTGGAAACTATAAAGTATGGAAATGCTTTTACCTATCAAAGGAGAATAAAAAAAAAGAGGGGAAATCATTTTTGTGGAGATTTAGAATGGCAGCAGTCCTGGAGAATGCGGTGTGAAAGAAATGCTAGAATTTTGGAAATAAGAGGCAAGAGGTTTTCAACCATCATTAGAAGTATACCAGTAAGTGTGGCACATTGGGTCACTACAAGAGATGAATTCAGTGGTATCTCAATAATCTCCATTTTAAGGGCATGGAAGCAGGAAGTTTATTAAATTCAACCAACATTGCACATTTTACATAAGCAAGTGTCAGCTAGATAATTGAATGTCTCATTCAATAGGATGCCACTCTTGCTGATGCACTGGCAATAAATAGGAGCAGGCAGGGAAGAACTAGAATGAGGATTGCCTAGCCTGGGGCTAATCTAAGTCTAGCATAGCATTGTATTTTTTTTATCAGTAACAAAAACACATTTTATTAATTAAAGAGAAGAAGAAGAAGAGTACAACACATGGGCAGCCTCGGCTACCCCCCTACAACTGAACCAAGGAACAAAACAAACAACTTTGCCTTCTTAACATTACAACTGGGCCCAAAAACACTGTTCTCTGCTACTCCTTAATAAAATCTCTTTTAATCAGGAGATTTCAAATTTTTAATTCAATGCAACTAGGGCAATGAGGAATAATTCTTTTTCACAAGATTATTTCAGAATTTCTGATTCTTTTCAAGGGCAATGAGGTAAAATTCTGCTAAGTATTAGCATTATTTTCAAGGGTTTTCTCTTGTGAAAATCACTATTCACCAGGATTTAGAAAATTCAGCAGCAGAACATTAACCTCCCTTGTATCCATCTCAAAATAGTTGTGCAAGAAGTACAAATATGATTTAGTTTAGCAATAGTGACAACCACTAAAATACTTTTCCTAGCCCCATTGTCACCCCTATAACCATAGCATTTGACAGAGGTAGGCAGACAGGGAAGAAGATAGATTTGGAGAAGATAATACAGAAATTCAAGTTGGTAAGAAATTGGATTTGCTTTTCTTAGGTGGTGAAAATTTTGCTAGAAAAATTTTTAGGGAGATAGAAAGAAGGGGAGTTATTGCTGATAAAATCTATTAAGTTCTCAATGATGTGGTAGTGGGTACATTTGGTTTTGGGGTTTTGAGGTGTACGTGAAGTGGTTTTTGTTTGTAGAGTTGGGTGTAAGGTATTGTCCATGAGGGGTTGGGGTATGGATGTCAGTAAGTTAGTTAAGCAATAAGCCTGCTTTGACCCAACTGGCCAACCCTACTGGGTTAGGGTTGGGTCGGCCTTAATTGAGTTCGGTGTCCCATTTTATATGGTCAAGTTGGGTTTGGGTTGGGACCGTTGGGCAAAACTGATATCTAATCTGACCCATTGATATCTCTATTAGGGGGCACAGTTTTTGATGGGTTAATCAAGGAGGCGCATTTAGGTGTTGTGATTAACTCTGCTAGTATCTACCAAAAACAAACAATTAACTCTGCTAGTGTAAGTTTGTCTTACAATGCCAGTCCCAAGCTCAACTAGAGGAACGTTGTGTCAGGTTGGCAGCCAGCATAAAACTTTTCCCAAATTCTTATGGTGGCTACAAATTATGGCATACAAAAGAAGTCAATTATAGAAATGGAGTAACAATAATATAAGGATCTAAAAAGTGAAAAGTGTAAATGTTAAAAAAATGGAGAAGAATAATTTTAATTAAACTTGTTTTAGGTAATTAGATGAGGAATTAACGTAATTAGCACTTATGCACCTCCAGTAGATTTAGAAGACAATTTTGGAAAATTTTATAAGAATAATCCAAGTGATTCCAAATATAGAAAAAAAC